CTCATCTTCCTTAGTGTCTTCCTGTTACTTAGGGGCTTTCCCCTTCTGCAATGCTGATTTTGCTATATCAAGAACATGGTCTATACTCCCACAAACCATCTCTACAGTGTATTTTGGAGGGACTGCTATAGATGGAAGTGTTCCTAAGGTTTAATAGCTGTAACCAGGGGTAATAAAAACACAGCAAAGAAAGTAGAATAGTTAATTACTAAACAAACATGAAATTAAATCAACTATCCCTAAAGTCAATCAAGGGACAGACAAACAGTACAGAATATGACACCTAATATGTAAAGAATGGAGAAGAAAAAGGATGAGAAAAAAAGAACCTTTAGATAGTATATTATATATGGGAAAGTGTAAGTGGGGACTTTGATCAAAAATTCAGTCTTTCAAAAATATTTGCTTGCTTCTGCTTCAGTCACAATGTAGTTTCTAATTAAAAGCAATAAGCTTCTCATAACTGCCCTTCCCACCCCTATTCTTCTTGTCAGGTGCAATCATCACACATTGATTTTTTAAAAAGTTGAAGCAGAGTTGCTATACAATCTTATATTTGTTTCAAGTATACAACACAGTGATTCAACAGTTACCCACATTATGAAATCCTTGCCCCAACTAGTGTGGTTACTATCTGCCAACATAGGAAGGTGTTCCAGAACCATTGACTGTATACTACATGCTGTACTTCCATCCCCATAACTAATTTGTATCATGATTGAGATTTTGTGCTTCTTTTTCACCTTCATCTATTTCACCCCCCAACCCCAACCCCTCCTCTTTGGTAACCACCAGTCACTTCTCAGTGTCTATGAGTCTACTGCTGTTTTCTTCATTTTGTTTGTTTTGTTTTTAGATTCCACAAATAAGTGAGATCATATGGTATTTGTCTTTCCTCACCTGGCTTATTTCATCTAGCATAATACCCTCTGAGTCCATCCATGTTCTCAAAAATGGCAGGATTTCTTTCTTTTTTATGGCTGAATAGTATTTTATTGTATATGTACCACATTGTCTTTATCCATTCATCTATTGATGGACATTTTGGCTGTTTACATGTCTTGGCTATTGCAAATAATGCAGTGATAAACATAGGGGTCCATATATCTTTTTGAATCAGGGATTTTGTTTTCTTTGGGTAGATTCCTAGAAGTGGAATTACTGGGTCATATGGTATTTCTATTTTTCATTTTTTGTGGAACTTCCATACTGCTTTCTACAGTGGCTCCACCAATTTCCATTCCCACTAACAGTATAGGAGGGGTCTCTTTTCTCCACATCTTCACCAATACTTGTTATATCTTGTCTTTTAGATAATGGCCATTCTGACTCATGGGAGGTGATATCATCTCCTTGTGATTTTTATTTGCATTTCTCTGATGATTAGTGTTACAGAACATCTTTTCCTGTGCCTGTTGGCCTTCTATATGTCCTCTTTGGAAAAATGTTCAGGTCCTCTACCCATTCTTTAATTGGGTTATTTGTTTTTTTGGGTGTTGAATCATATGAGTTCTTTATATATTTTGGGTGTTAATCCCTTGTCAGATAAATTGGTTATGAATATATTCTCCCATACTGTAAGATGCTTTTTGTCCTGCTGATGGTGTCCTTTGCTGTACAGATTGTTTTTAGTTTGATATAGTTCCACTTGTTCATTTTTATTTTGTTTCCCTTGCTCGAGGAGATATGTCCAAGAAAATATTGCTCATGGTTATGTTCAAGAGATTTTTGCCTATGTTTTCTTCTAAGAGTTTTATGGTTTCATGTCTTATATTCAGGTCTTTAATCCATTTTGAGTTTACTTTTATATGTGGAGTTAGTAATCCAGTTTCATTCTCTTACATGTAGCTGTCCAGTTTTCCCAACACCAGTTGTTGAATAGGTGGTCTTTTCCCATTTTATATCCATGGCTCCTTTAATGTATATTAATTGACCATATACACATGCATTTATTTCTGGGCTCTCTATTCTGTTCCATTGATTTATGGATCTGTTGTTGCGCTAGTACCAAATTGTCTTGATTACTGTGGCTTTGTAGTTGAACTTAAAGTTAGGGAGTGTAATCTCCCAGCTTTGTTCTTCTTTCTCAGGATTGCTTTAGCTATTCGGGGTCTTTTGTGTTTCCATATGAATTTTAGGATCATTTGCTCTAGTCCATTGAAAAATGCTATTGGGATTTTGGTAGAGATTGTAGTGAATCTATAAATTGCTTTTGGAAGGATGGCCATTTTAAAAATATTAATTCTTCTTATCCATGAGCATGGGGTAGATTTCCATATCTTTGTGTTTTGTTTCATATCTCTCATCATTGTCTTATAGTTTTCAGAGTACAGGTCCTTCACTTCCTTGGTTAGGTTTATTCCTAGGTATTGTATTCTTTCTGATGCAGCTGTAAGTGGAATTGTTTTCCTGATCTCTCTTTCTGCTAGTTTGTTGTTAGTATACAGGAATGCAACAGATTTTTGTGTATTAATTTTGTATCCTGCAACATTGCTGAAGCCAGTTATTAGTTCTAATAGTTTTTTGATGGAGTCTTTAGGGTTTTCTATGTATAATGTCATGTCATCTGCAAATGGTAACAGCTTAATTTCTTCATTACCAGTCTGGGTGCTTTTATCTCTTTGTGTTGTCTGATTGCTGTGGCTAAAACCTCCAGTACTATGTTGAATAAAAGTGGTGAGAGTGGGCATCTTTGTCCTGTTCCTGATCTTAGAGGAAAAGCTTTCAGCTTTTCACCATTGAGTATTATGTTTTTGCACATTGATTTTATGAAAATTGTTTCTGCCATTCCTCATTGTATTAAATAAAACTGCTTTCAAAGTTGAAGGAGAAACATAGTATGGGTTTTTCAACATTTTTGAATCTTGACTGGTTCATTTTCATTGTTGACTAATGCCTTATCATCTGAGTTATGACATGTATACTTTCCAAGAAGATGATTTCCCACAGTTTTGAAAATGCTAAGTTTGGAAGGTGCCTCTACACAATTTGAAATAAGCTCCATAATAATATAAATACTCAAGTTAGTTGAAAAACTTTGAATACTCTTCTTCTTTAGTTGATCCACAAGTATTCTGATTTCCTGAAAAACTTACAAGTCTGTTTTCTGCTTCCATTTTCTTTGCTTGATCTCCTAAAAGCTATGTTTTCAGAAACATTTATGTAAACCTCTTTTCTGGCTAGTGAATTAGTATTCAACTTACAAAGAAAGGTATTCCATCTTCTAGCTATAGTATATTGCATTTTACTTTGAGTAAAGCATGTTACTTCTTTTGAACAAAGGTATACCTTTTAATAAGGTATTTGAGTAGGTGTAAATTTCATTAAATTAAAATACTCAGTACCACTTTCATAAATAGAATATCATGATTTGCTCTGATGTGTGCTATAAATCCCCTCATCATAAATGTGGGGTGCAGCACAAAAAGGACAGTTCTGCTTGGAGGTAATGTGGTTCTGGTCAAGTACACCACTTGCTGGCTTGATTTTATTTTTGAAATTAGGTTACTCTTCAGAGAGCCCTCCATGGGTATTACTTCTCACCGAAATGTTCTTATCTTAGGTTGGCCAACAGTCTGTCTGAGTTATGCCTGTTCTCAGGTGAGAACCTAGAGAGTAACCATTGTGTCATTGCTTCAGGATAGATAGTGCTTGTGCTTTACTAATCAAGAGGAGGGTAGCGATGCCAACTATAAAGGGAGGATTCAATCCAGATAAATGATCAAATGGCTACACTATCTGAGGAGCACAGAGTCAGGCCCAGGAGGATTTCTAACAACTTGACTGAGAACTAGCAATGTGGTTACCTAGCTGTTGAGCTGATTAGTAGAAATGTCACCTCTCATACATTTAACAATTATGTATGTTATATTATAATTATATATTTCTTAAATTAATTGTATAACTTAATTTTAAGGTAAAATTTGCATGCACAAATTATAATGTTGAAAGAACATCAGCTTCATGAAAAAATATTCTCTCATAATCTACTGTTCTTTTATGCAGAAATAAATTTATATAAAATGAGAATGTTAACAAATGATGAGTTTATTTAAAATATGAAAAAAATATTGTGTTAAGTAAGTTGTAAATGGTCTGCCTTCAAATTCAGTCTTCTCACATTGCCAGCTGCTTTCATTTGCTCAAATGTACTTACTGAGCACTTTCAGCAGTGCACACACGTGGGCCATCCTTGTCTGCATGGAGTTCGCAGCGAGGAGTCCAGTTTCTAACCAATTCTTGCTTTCCCAGTGGATTCAGAGTTGAGTTTCCTGTCTTCTAAATTCATTCTTCTAAATTCTCCTTTTTCATTCTAAACCACGTAAGCTCCAGTTGAGTCCAGCAATGGTACCAGTCTGGGAACTAAGATCAAGTAATCCGTATTTTTCTCTTCTTAAGGTGGGGAGAGTGAGCATCCTTCTCTCTTGTTTGCCTTACCTCCTGAAGAGGAGAAGAATACAGACACGTTTAGTGATTTCATTGCATATTAATATATTTCTGTGCCTGCTGTGTAGAGCATAGATCATTGTTTTCTAATTAGCTTTGGAGCTAGACTACCTGGCTTCAGATCCCGGCTCTGCCGTTTACTAGCTACATGGCCTTGGACAGTTACGGAAACTCTGTGCTTTTGTTACCTCATCTGTCAAGTGGATATAATAATAATTCTTAACCTCGTAGAGCTCCAGTGAAGCAGCACTCCAGTATGTATAGCAGCAGTCAGGATAATGCCTGGCAGAGTTAAATATTCTGCAACAGTTAGCTGTTCTGCAGAAGCAAGATGGTATAAAATAGTGCCAACTTCACAGAGCCTTTGTGAGGAACAAGAAGGTCACTGTACTAGATAGAAGCCCTTAGAATAATGCTCGACACAGAATAAGTTCTGTATAACTCTCAACTACTGTTAGTGTTTTCTAGTTTACAGTGTTCATATTCCTTTTTTTCCCCTCATGGGAAAGAGATAACATTGCTTGTAAAGGTTTACTGCAATTACTTTTTGAAAGGTGGACTTTGCTGTAAGCAAGAGAGAGGTGCTGATTCAGTGGTTCTCCACCCTGACTGCACAAAGCAATCTCCTGGGAGAATCTGAGAAAATTCCGATGCTGGAGCCCATCCCTGACCCATTATGTCAAAATACGTTGCAGGGGAGACCTACGGCCTGGGTAAGGCTTAACACTTCCTGTGTGATTCTAATGTGGCTCCAGGGTTTAGACCACTGTACAACTTCTTTTATGAATTTTCTGTATTCAAATATCCAGTCGATTTTTTAACTACCCCTTAAAACTTTTTGTTTTGTTTTATTTTGAGGGACATTTCAGGAGAATGATCATCACCCTACATTTCTGTCTGTGTCTGCTACTCATCTGTTCCAAAGAGTTAGTCCCTAGATTTTAAGAGAATGAATGTAAAGCCATCGCTCACAACTGTTTTCTCATGTTCTGATTTCCATGGTTCATACATTATGCTTTTTTAAAAAATAATTTATTTATTTATTTATATTTTTTTGAAGAACATTGTTTACTAGGCTCTCCCCTACCCCAAGTCCCCCCCACAAACCCCATTACAGTCACTGTCCATCAGCAGAGTAAGATGTTGTAGAATCACTACTTGTCTTCTCTGTGTTGCAAAGCCTTCCCCTTTCCCTCAGCCCCCACATTATACATGCTAATCATAATACCCCTTTTTCTTCTTCCCCGCCCTTATCCCTCCGTACCCTCCCATTCTCCCCAGTCTCTTCCCCTTTGGTAACTGTTAATCCATTCCTGGGTTCTCTGATTCTGCTGCTGTTTTGTTCCTTCAGTTTTTCTTTTGTTTTTATACTCCACAGATGAGTGAAATCATTTGGTATTTCTCTTTCTCCGCTTGGCTTATTTCACTGAGCATAATACCCTCTAGCTCCATCCATGTTGCTGCAAATGGTAGGATTTGTTTTCTTCTTATGGCTGAATAATATTCCATTGTGTATATGTACCACATCTTCTTTATCCATTCATCTACTGATGGACACTTAGGTTGCTTCCATTTCTTGGCTATTGTAAGTAGTACTGCGATAAGCATAGGGGTGCATCTATCTTTTTCAAACTGGAAT